GTGACCCATAGATAGCAGTAAAATAACAAAATTGTACAATGGTGATGGGATAAAATCAGACAGCAGCAGACAGGGTAAGGGTTGGCATGGCATTGGATCCCAGGATCATTCCAGAAGCCCCGTGTTGATAGAATGGATCTGCTGGGTTTGGACCACCCCAAACCTGTTACATGAGAGTCAGCCAGTGTGGTTCAGATTCTTCCTGAGGTGCAAGCTAGGCAAGTAAGGTCTCACTGGGCGACCAGGGTGCAGATTCCTTCTGGGCAGATACCCCAACACTAAGCTTGTGGGTGCCATGATCAATCATCACCTCAGGTCCCTTATAGCCCCCCCCTTATACTGTGTTGATTCTGCCCAGTGATCCAAATTGCTCAGTGAATGCTCTAACCCCAGTGTGGGCGAGTGGGAAGCTTTCATGGCAAATTGGCCTTGAGTATCATAGGCAGCAGCCTTATATAGGCTTTCCACTCTTCTTTGCAAGGGCTCATGGGACAGTTTTTCCCCATGAGCCCACCACACAAACAAGATACTGAGCAAAGTTTTTCTGCAATCTGTGGGCCACAGCGCTGCTGGGCAAAGGTGTCCTGCGCTTATTGACCAAGGAATGATGCTTAAAATAGTATATATATATATATATATATATTTTAAAATGCAATTCGGCGTGAAACTCATGACCACATCTTTCCTGAGATGTATGTTTTCCTATGCAATATCCCTTTAAATTTCTCAAGGTATTTGGAGATTGTATTGCTCTAATGCTTGTGATCTTTTTGCTAGTTCAATTCATCCATTCCTCCCTCTGAATGATAGGAGACGATTCTTAAAAACATTTCCATACTTATTTTCCCCCACAGACCCTAATAGATGCGTATTTTGGAATTATTCCTGATTATGGTTCTGTAAAAAACATGATCCACTTGGCCCAGGTGAGCTTTAATGCATATTTTTCCTTATTTCAAAATTTAGAGGCCATTTAATGTTCAAGTGAATGTTTAACGTGTGTGAATATTTAAGGGTTTTCTTTTTTAAATTTTCAGAAGGTGACAGGAAATGAAAAACAATATAGCAATAAATGGTATATGACAAGCTGCCACTCACAGGATCTTTGTCGCTCTGAGTTACTGCTGGTGTAGTTGCCCGGTTACATGCAATATGCGTCTACAGGTGTAGAAACTGAGAATCATAATATGCCAATGAAACCAAAAGAAAATATTCTTAAATAGGGTCATCCAAAAGAAGAAATAAAGAGAAACTTTTCAATTTCGTTGCCTAAAGAGTAGTTCTTAAACTTCAAACATCAAGTGATTTTTTATTCATTATATCTGAAGTGATAGTTAAGTTTTAATTTGCACATTGCAGTTTCTCATTAGCTTACACAGTTTGGCTATTACTAGGATAGCAAACATCAAGGATTGATTTTTGAAATGATTGTATAAGGGTTTCAATATCATTTACTTATTAATTTGCAAAGTATGCAAAATATTGCTAAAAACAGATTGTATTTGAAAAAAAACAGATCTATTAAAACTATCTATTTAAAGAAAAGTTTTCACAATTTTTGCAGGGATTAGGGACAGGGTTCTTTCTGTATGTTATAAAGATGCCTGCATTAAAAATTTGAAAATTCTGTACTTTCCCCTTTATTTTATAGGTTTTTAAATCAAGAGAACTGAAATATTTTGACTATGGCAGTAAGAACAAAGCTATATACAATACGGTAAAGAGTTAAAGAAAAGTAAAGTTTCAGGAGTAAACCAGGCACAAATTCGGAGACAGTTGGGTGGGGCCTTGTATGCCTCTTTCCAGCACCTTCTGCAGCCAAGCTGGTGCCAAATGCATTGCTCTACTTCCTTTGGACCACATCAGTGCAGCCGAGATGGTGGTCTTATTGTCTGGGTAGCCCAGGTCACTTTGGTGCTGCTGGTGCAGTGGTTGGACTTCACCCCTGGAAACGCACTCCATCCTCTCCCAAGACAGATGGATACCAACATTGTAAACCTAGATCCCATCCCTCTCCTGGTAAACCCTTGATGCTTCCCACTATTCCTTGTGCAGCCATGCCTGGACCACATGGCTGAGGTCCCAGATTCCACAGCCCAAATGATCACCTAAAGAGCACCAGATAGCACTGGCAGTGACAAACCAGCCTGACTCTAGCACCATGGCCAGTATGCAGTATTCCAACGAAGATTTTATAGTCAGGGGTGACCACCCTGGCATTTATGTGGTTAGAGATCTTCTTTTCTTTTCTTTTACTTTGAAATCATATTATCCTTTTCTTACATCAGAATGTTGCTTATTCCCAAGGAGATGTGTTTAACCTCAGAGCAGCAGAAGCAAACTCAGTTTTATTCCTATAGTCATGGTGGTGCTATGTTTGAAATGCTTTAAATATATAAAGCTGCACATGTTCAGCATGTGTGTGTTTGTGTATGTATATATATAGCTTCAAAACAGTTATCTTGTTTGTAGAAGCAGCTGTGAAGCCATGCAATGGCAGTAGGAAAGAGATATTTGGAGAACTTCAAAACTGAAGTCATATGGGCAGCTTTCTAAAGCCTGCTCACTGCTACCTGAAAGTTGATTAAGTCCAGAGCCTAAATGTGCCAAGCTGAACTATTGCTCACTTTAGCAGACATGCACATTAATCCTGATACAGATCCTCAATGTCGTTGTACATCCCACAATGTTGGTATATCCTATGTTCAATCCAGTCAAGTAGTTGTCCTACACATAAATCAAGAATGCACAGTAAACAATTAATACGTGACAGATTCATTAATACAATGGAGAAGAAAATCTGATACTAATGCTCAAGGAAGCATTTTCCAGAAACATAGGTCACACATCCCAGAGTTTTGATGGTCCTGCATATGAACCATCAGACGGCTAAGAAAACAGGTAAAAATCTAAGATTGGCAGATGAAGACCGTTTTAATCATTCTGATATTTTCATCCACAGACCACTCCTCCATTCTATTAAATCGAAGACATGGTTGTGCCAACTGCTGTGTGGTATGGTGGACATGATATTGTAATAAACAGAAAGGACATCCAGCTGTTGCTTCCTCGAATCTCTAATTTAGTTTTCCATAAGAATATTCCTGAATGGCAGCATGGCGATTTTTTATGGGGTCTGGATCCTCCAAAGAAACTATACCCTGATATATTCTATCTTATGCAGAAGTACAAGTAAAATGTTATGAAAGTCACTAACTGCTTATATTCCCTGCGATTGTAGACACTGCATTGGTCTGTATGACTTGTATTTATCTTCAATTTGTTAACTGATTTTTGTTTCTATTACCTATCTCTCGTCTTCTAATAAAATCTACCTTTTGGCATTGACACAATTGGTAGTGGAATTCATTGGCCTTGCACTGCAAAAGCATACTTCTCTCTGCAAAGGCCTCATCTTTTAGCCACAGCGTAGATGTTTCTTGCTGTTCCTTGTAGATCAGTGGTTCTTAACCTTTGAGCACAGGTGCTCATAGGCCCTTTTTAGAATCTGATGAAAGCAGTGTAGCCCCTTTGCAGAATTCTTTTGACAAAGACAATTTTCTAAGGCATGAGAAGGAAATAAAGGGAGCGAGAATAATTTTTGGTGCCTGGTTCATGGGGCCCCTAAAATCCATGCATGGAAGCCTAGGGGGCCATGGCCTAGGGGTCCATGGTCAAACCCCCTGCTGTGAAACATTGTCCTGACAAGGAGATAATGAGGCTAGGGGTGGGAGGTGGCACACAATTTCCTCCATCAACTCTGAGATTACATCCAAAAACTTATAGTGTACCCTTGGATGCAGTTCATCAGGCCCTGGAGATTTGAGAAAATGAAAACAATCCATCCCCTTGGCAAGGATTCTCTCAAGTCTGTGAGCTTTATTTAGGTGGTCTGCAGCAGACTAGAACACTTTATCAATTGATTTCTACAGAATTCTATGGCATGCAACTGTAATACATGAAAATGCAATATAAGGAATAAACGAAGCCATCAAAATATAACAAACAACTATCACAGCACAGTACAATTGCAGTCAGAGGTAGGAAAAATATAATTAAATGGTCCAACAGAAACCTCAGCAATTTACAAGCAGCCCATGGTTGTTAATTTTGAGGAACCACTGTGCTGGGGTTTATGCAGATTTTGAGGGGCTTTACATTTCTGGTACCAAAGCTGGGGAGGATAAACTATCTATGTGTTTTTTGGTTTCTATGGAAGCCGCCCAGAGTGGCTGGGGAAACCCAGCCAGATGGGCGGGGTACAAATAATAAATTATTATTATTATTATTATTATTATTATTATTATTATTATTATTATTATTATGTCTTTGTACAAATACCTCCCTCTCCCCCTGCATTTCATAGAAAATAAGTTTTAAGTTTGAGAGATCCATTTGCCCTCCTAGGCAGGCAGTTTTGCAGATGGGCTCTGAGCCGCTCTTGGTAACCAGCGAATGGCAGGCCAGATCATCTGCCATACATTATAATGCTTTGTACAGACTTATCATTAGGCAAATGTTGGGTGTGTGATGATGCTTTCTTTCTCAACTGTTTTCATAGTTTCCAGAAGCTCCTGGCTGGTTGCCCAGGAAAGTAAAAAGACAAGGAAAAGTTTCTTACAGTCCTTTTTCATTTCGAACACAGAGAGGCTCTAGAACCCAGCCTCTTGGATAATGGTGTTGTCCTCTGTTAATCTGCACCCCCCCCTTCTCTCCCACTTCCTCATTCGTCATCATCATCACCTGCTGTACGGGGGCTGCTAAGTGCACTATGTCTTTGAGTTCATTCTCTCCTACTTTTAAGGCTCGCTGGGTTCTGGGAAATGGAAGGTCTGGAATGTTTTCTAATAACAGGTCAGCAAGGTCTTGCTCCTCCTCTCCCAATATTTCCCAACTTTCCCCCTCACCTACCTCTGAGCTGCTACCTCCCTCAATCCCCTGTTGTAAATTGATGCTATCTTCCACTTCCTCCTCCCTGGAAAGGTCAGGAGGTGGAGGCAGTCTCCACCACTCCTCTGCTCACTCCCTGACGCAAAGGTCTTCTGCTGTGTCTATTTGAGATCTGGTCGCTACTGATGCACAACAACAGGTAAGCAAAATTACTTTCTTTCATAAAATCATAGAATCATAGAGTTGGAATAGACCACAAGAGCCATCGAGTCCAACCCCCTGCCAAGCAGGAAACACCATCAGAGCACTCCTGACATATGGTTGTCAAGCCTCTGCTTAAAGACCTCCAAAGAAGGAGACTCCACCACACTCCTTGGCAGCAAATTCCACTGTCGAACAGCTCTTACTGTCAGGAAGTTCTTCCTAATGTTTAGGCGGAATCTTCTTTCTTGTAGTTTGGATCCATTGCTCCGTGTCCGCTTCTCTGGAGCAGCAGAAAATAACCTTTCTTCCTCCTCTATATGACATCCTTTTATATATTTGAACATGGCTATCATATCACCCCTTAACCTCCTCTTCTCCAGGCTAAACATGCCCAGCTCCCTTAGCCGTTCCTCATAAGGCATCGTTTCCAGGCCTTTGACCATTTTGGTTGCCCTCCTCTGGACACGTTCCAGTTTGTAAGTGTCCTTCTTGAACTGTGGTGCCCAGAACTGGACACAGTACTCCAGGTGAGGTCTGACCAGAGCAGAATACAGTGGCACTATTACTTCCCTTGATCTAGATGCTATACTCCTATTGATGCAGCCCAGAATTACATTGGCTTTTTTAGCTGCCACGTCACACTGTTGGCTCATGTCAAGTTTGTGGTCAACCAAGACTCCTAGATCCTTTTCACATGTACTGCTCTCAAGCCAGGTGTCCCCCATCTTGTATTTGTGCCTCTCATTTTTTTTGCCCAAGTGCAATACTTTTCATTTCTCCCTGTTAAAGTTCATCTTGTTTGTTTTGGCCCAGTTCTCTAATCTGTCAAGGTCTTTTTGAAGTGTGATCCTGTCCTCTGGGGTGTTAGCCACCCCTCCCAGTTTGGTGTCATCTGCAAATTTGATCAGGATGCCCTTGAGTCCATCATCCAAGTCGTTGATAAAGATGTTGAATAAGACCGGGCCCAAGACAGAACCCTGTGGCACCCCACTAGTCACTCTTCTCCAGGATGAAGAGGAACCATTGATGAGCACCCTTTGGGTTCGGTCAGTCAGCCAGTTACAAATCCACTGAGTGGTAGCATAGTCAAGACCGCATTTTACCAGCTTCTTTACAAGAATATCATGGGGCACCTTGTCGAATGCCTTGCTGAAATTAAGGTAGGCTACATCCACTGCGTTCCCTTCATCTACCAGGCTTGTAATTCTGTCAAAAAATGAGATCAGGTTAGTCTGACATGACTTATTTTTCAGAAATCCATGCTGACTATTGGTGATCACAGCATTCCTTTCTAGGTGCTCACAGACTGTTTGCTTAATGATCTGCTCCAGAATCCAGAATCATGTCTCTTTTTAATTTATTTTTCAGTGACATAGCTGTGGTCTTGCATTTTAATAGCTTGCATTCTTAAGTTGTTCCTTTAACAGTGTTATGCACTGCTGAAGTACAATCAATAATTTTTTAGCAGACTTGCATCCCATTGTAAATAATGGTCTGTTCCACAAATTACCAAAGCAAACATGTTAGCTAAATTTAATGGATTGAGTTTATTGGATTGAGTCATGAGGTGTTGCAGACCCCATTTCCCAGTATCCCAGTCAGCAACAGCACCTTCTTAGCCAGTGGTCCTGGGAAGAGGAATTCCCAGCACCTCCAGACTCAATATTTTAAACTGGGAGACAACTCTATTTCCAGCTAGAATTGGTGTCTGAAGGGTGCAGTAAGACTTTTAAAAAGTACTTGGGTTAGGAGGGCATGCTGTTTGGTGTCATGACTCACTTGGCACTGTTGGGTCTAGCTCTAGCATGGCAGATACTGGAGGAAGATGAGAAGGAATGGAAGTGGTAGGCTGGCCCCACCTCAACGCCACCTGGCTCTGTGTGGAGATAGGACTTCCAGCTCCGTTCCTTCCAGAGGGAGAGAGAGTATTGTCAGAACCTGGAGAGGCAAAGCAGGCTGAGTAGGGAGGAGGTGGGTACAGCACTCTCTCCTAGAACACCAGGAGAAGGGACAATGTATGCCTGCTTAGACACACATTTGTCTGCAGGTTCAGCCAGGAATAGAGACTCTCATGAGTAAGGACTGCACTCATGGTGGCTTTTAGCTGGATGAGTGGGCATGGAGAAGTGGTTGAAACAACTACTCAGCAGTCTTGAGCTTAATGTAACGGACTCCAGTATACCTGAAGGAGCGTCTCCACCCCCATCATTCTGCCCGGACGCTGAGGTCCAGCGCCGAGGGCCTTCTGGCGGTTCCCTCATTGCGAGAAGCAAAGCTACAGGGAACCAGGCAGAGGGCCTTCTCGGTAGTGGCGCCCGCCCTGTGGAACGCCCTACCAGCAGATGTCAAAGCGATAAACAACTACCTGACATTCAGAAGACATCTTAAGGCAGCCCTGTTCAGGGAAGTTTTTAACGTGTGATATTTTACTGTATTTTTGGTTTTTATGGAAGCTGCCCAGAGTGGCTGGGGAGACCCAGCCAGATGGGCGGGGTATAAATAATAAATTATTATTATTATTATTATTATTATTATTATTATTATTACTACTCTGAACCCAGGCGCCTTGGCCACTCTTCATAGATCAGACCCATCGCAGTCAACCCTTTTTCCTGTGGGAGACTGAAATAGCTCTTTTCCTTGTGCCGAGTCTGTACCATTTCCTTACAAGAAAGAGAATCTGAGGACATGTTTTGGGATGGGAGCCAGGGCATTGAAGCCAATGGCTTCAAGGATCAAAATCCCCTGGGAAGCAATTGGAGCATATTGAGCAACAACAGCCAGTGTTGTTCTAGGGTAATGCCACAGGTTCTCTACAGCAGTCCTCCCTGCTGCTAGTATAAGAAGAACACTGCTGGATCAGGCCAAAGGTTCATCTAGCCCTTTTATCTCACCTTTCAACACCCATCATGTCTCCTCAAGATATTTCTTCAATATATTGAGTTTCCCCCCTGAAATCTTTTTCATTAAGGACTCATGTTTTCAGACTAGAGATCCTGTAGTTCTGTTTTATACACAGGTCCAAGATGTGGCTGTTTTGGGGAGTGGCCTGCTTAGTCCAACAGGCTCTGACATCTGAAGAATTCAGCAGTAGAAGACATCTGAATCCACAACAATTTATGACTATTGTAAGTTAATAATTCAGATGGCCTTGAAAACAGTGGACCATGTTCCTTATAATTTCATTTTTAAAACAGTTTTCAAGAGCACATGCATTTCCAAGAAGAAACTCCATGCTTGGCAGGAATTTTTCAAACTGCAAATTAATCTGATCGTGTTTGAAACAATACTCTCTTGGCCAGATTATCTGATCTAGAAGACACAGTTAGCTTTGATAACTCCTTCTCAGAGCAGAGTTTTAGGAGCCTGGCTCCTCAGTGTAAATGTTGACATTTGCTACACAAGCATTAGCTGAAGCCTTAGGCAGCAGATTCATTATATTTCTCATGGTGAGACATTTCTTTGTAGTTGCTTACCATACAGATTTGGTGTTCTGCATCATATCAGTACAGATTTCCTTTTTGTCTTTTTGTTGTAGAATGGAGAAAACCACAATCAATCTGTGGTTATGTACACACAAATATACCCAGATAGGGGAAAGGGGGAATAAATTTTATTCAGTTCGCATTTCAAGCTGAATCTACACGATTTGCGTTTTCTGGAAGAATACACAAACTGGAACAAAGCCATCCTTCAAAATTGGCACGTCTCCAATTTTTGCGTACTCTTCTCCAGCCAAGTAATGGAAATAGAAATGCATATACCAGAGTAAAGTGTTTTTAAAAATGCATATACAAATGAAAATAGAATACAAAAAAATCATTTTATTAGGCCAAAAAAAAAGGGTGTGTTTTGAGCAAACTTGCATACAATCATGTGTACATTATGAGAATTTAGGGGAGGGATGCGGTGTTGTTGGATTACAACTCCCATAATCCTTGACCCTTGGCCATGCTGGCTGGGACTGATAGGAGCTGGAGCCCAGCTATAGCCACAGATTTCCCATTCCTGGTGTAGTTACTAGCAAAGTCACTTCACAATAATCTTGGCCCTGGGAAGTTTTTGTTCTTTGTGATATTCAAGCCATTGTCCCAGAAATTGAATGATCAGATTTATTTATTTTTTAATATAGCATTTCTATTTCCATCCTTCTCCACTCACAGCCCGAAGTTATCCAGTACTGGGGATACCCCAGTGAAGAGTATATAATCCTGACAGAGGATGGCTATTACCTGCAGGCAAACAGAATTCCACATGGAAGACATAGTTCTGGGAAGACAGGTAATTTTGAAATTTAGCAGTAAATGCATTAAAATTCCACTTGCAATGCCTGATATCCCTATGTTCAACTTTAAAAATGTTACCCAGACTTCACTAATTTTTTCCCTTTCTTTCAACTATATTTGGAAGAAATTGTTGCAAGTTGGCTGAAATCACTTCAGTTGTGCTCAGTTGTAAACACACTTGATGATTCCTTCTTCATTATATCTGAGCAACAAGATTTCCCAGATTAATTAATAATTCCAAATTATCAACAGTTAGAATAATTATCCAGACTTCTATTCATAGCAGAACACTATGAAATATCTTAAGTGGTGTGGAGTTTGGTTGAGTGGCTTTTTTTTGTCTTTTCAAAAATCAGTGCAAATATTAACTTTCTCCTATTCTTAGGAGAGTTGTTTAGAAACAGCCGCAGCAGTTGTGGCCCCTCTTCAGCGGCAGGCAGCAATCACCTCAGAGACACAGCGTTTCACCCACAGGAGAGGCAAGACCTGCCCACCTTCTCACCTCACCTACTTCTGCTACCTTTTGACAATACTTCAGCACTGCCTCTCTGGATTGCTTGGGGAAAGTAGGCGTGGACATGTTGGCAGAAGAGAAAGTGGGCGGGGAAAGAAGTATCACAGCGTTTTATGTAGGCTTACACAAAACATCATTGCTAGTCTTCACACAATCTATGGAAACATTTTCTGAGGTCCTAGGAAACGTCTGGCTCACCTCCTTTGTACCCCCTGCACCCTACTCTGCTTGGCCTTGGGCTAGATACCAGTGGGAAATGTTGGTGCTCTGTGAGTGCCCATTCTCTATCTAATGTTGTCTTTGTTTTCCAGGGCCTAAGTCAGTTGTGTTATTGGTACCTGGTAACCTTTGTGAAGGCAGGAGCTGGATTTCAAATCTTCCCAGCAATAGTCTGGGATTTGTTCTAGCAGATGATGATTATGATGTTTGGATAATAAATAACAGGGGGACCACCTGGTCTAGAAGACATCAAAACTTCTCAGTAGACCAAGAAGAATTTTGGAATTTCAGGTAAGTACAAGGGGCTATTGTTGCTTGGATGGAAGGGATGCTTTTCCTGAGAACTTTCCCAGGACTCAACTAGATTAGTAAAGAAAAAGCATTTTAGATGCACTGGATAGGCAATATAACACTATGAAACCAGATGGCACTGTGGAGTTCTGTCTTTCCCAACTGGATTTCCCTATATGATTTTACAATGTGTTTAACTGAAATGCTTCATAGATGTATTTATTTTTATCATCATCATCATCATCATCATCATCAATCTTTATTATGGTCGAGACCCAACAAATCATTACAAAGCAATACACAATTCAGACAGCCTACCTCCAGGTTAAACAGGAGCATCTCCACCCCCATCGTTCTACCCGGATACTGAGGTCCAGCACCCAGGGCCTTCTGACAGTTCCCTCACTGCGAGAAGCCAAGTTACAGGGAACCAGGCGGAAGGCCTTCTCGGTAGTGGTGCCCGCCCTGTGGAACGCCCTCCCACCAGATGTCAAAGAGAACAACAACTACCAAACTTTTAGATGACATCTGAAGGCAGCCCTGTTTAGGGAAGCTTTTAATGTATTATTGTATTTTAATATTTGGTTGGAAGCCGCCCAGAGTGGCTGGGGAAGCCCAGCCAGATGGGCGGGGTACAAATAATAAATTATTATTATTATCATTTTGTTCAGACTTAAGGATAGGGGTCATTGGTTCTTGCAACCACTGATAAAAACTTCGCCACTGCTAATGTTCTAGCGTTTGTCCGATCTTCCAGTAGGAACCTGACATAGTGAGCCTTTGATTTTCCCAGGAAAGGTACCAGCAAGGGTAATATCAGTTCATCCACCCAGAGCAGAATTTTAATTTAATTTTGGGGAATTTTAAGCATGGCACTACACTCCACATAATATCAGAGGGTAGTGACCCCCCAAAAGGCATTTCCTGCTCTTGCCCCTGCACTGTGGAATGCCTTTCCGTCTTCCATATGTAAAGCATCATCAGTGTGATTCCGCACATCGTTCCTGATGTAGATCTTCATTCTCCACTTGGTTGTAATGAAGACATTTATTGCCACCTTGTCCCTGGTGTAGATCTCCACTCACTGCTTCCTCCCTGGAGGGAAGTGGTCCAATTTTGTGGTTCACCTCCAGTGCCAGAATATCTTAGGCCAGTCCTAATACAACTAGCATATAAGACCATGAACAATTTGGCATTTAGATTACCTGATAAATGGTCCGCTCTTGTACAGATCTGTTAGTTCCTCCAGGCATATTGTGAAGACACACCATTTTGCCCAGATATTCCAGGATGTACACCTTTTAGACTGAGTAAAGGGACTTCTGAATTACCATTTAAATTTAACGCAGTTGAGCGATTTCATATAATTTAATATAATTCTTTAAAATTATCCTTTAACATGTGGACAATGTACATATCTGAGAACCTATTGGGCTAGTTTAAGGGTGATGTAAATATTTAAATAAATCATAAATATATATTTACTCTTTCTCTCCTTACTCTTTCCATAGGACAATAAACTTACAACGTTATCCTCCAAATGTAAGGGTATCATATGTAATGTATGGTACTGTTTGTATTTAGACATTAATGTCCACAACTGTATGCAATTGCAGGCAGGCAAAATTTAATCTATATTCTGTGTTTTTCTTTCAGCTTTCATGAAATGGCAGTTTATGATATTCCAGCAGCCATAGACTTTATTCTGCAGAAAACTAAGCAAAAAAGCTTGTATTATATTGGCCATTCCCAGGGAGGTACAACGGGTAAGTTAATAAGAAAAGAATGAAATACCTTTTATTTTCTTGCCTTTTTGCATTATCAGGGATTTATTGGGGGTGTGGTCCAGTCTCAGGACTATTGGGAAGACTAGTTCAGAAAAGAAAAAGACAGATTAAAGCATAGCTTTTAAAAAAGAAAAGAAAAAGCAGAGTTCACATATGTTCCATGAGAAAGTCTTTTCAGGATCAGGACTTCAGTATACAGGATCAGGCAGCGTACACAGCTGTTATCAGTTCCACAGCCATGAAGAATGTCCATCTGTGGTGCAAATAAATTTGTTGAATGACAGGCATTTCAAAAGAAGAGAAATGGGAAACTTTTGCCCTTGCAGATATTTGAGACTCCAGCTCCCGTCAGCCCCAGCAAGCATGGCTGATGGGCTCCAGCTCCTGCAACACCTGGAGAGCCACAGGTTTTTTTAAATCTCTTATTTGTTTGTTTGTTTGTTTGTTTGCAAGTGCTATGTTTAGAATTGTTTCTTTTTTCCAGGTTTTATTGCCTTTTCAACCATGCCACAGCTTGCTCAAAAGGTTAAACTCTTCATGGGCCTGGCTCCTGCCTACACACTGGACGGCATGAAAGGAGTCTTTTCCTTAATTATACACCTTCCTCAAGAATTGATAAGAGTAGGTATTATTCAAGGCCCATAATTCTGATATATATTTTTCTTCTGCATCTTTATGGAGAGTTAGTTTTCCTGCCATCCACTTCATTTCTTTATGTTGAGTGTGAGCTTGAAGAATTAGAAGGTTTGGATCACATGAACATTTGTAGTATGATAAGGTCAGAGTCACCGTGGACTTTAGAAACAATTTCCTCAGACATATTATTTTGAGAATCTGGAATATATTTAAATATAAGTTATACGTGAATAGACCCTTATGGATCTCAACACTGGAAGCCTTTCAAAGAAAAGAGAAATGGTTAATGGAAATTCTTCTTCTTCTTTGGCGATTACTCGTAGCCAAGTAAGATTGTCTTCCAAGAACACGGTCTTAACAGTGAGTCCCTAAGTGACTGTGGAGGCCAATTCTGGATCCACACGTCCTTCCACAGTGCTTTTTGGTGGCTGCTCCCAGACAGGATGAAGACTCTGTCACAGTCAGGGATGCTAGAAAGGAATGATTGACATTCCAACCTGCATGTGACACAACCAGTATCACTTGCATTCTGCTGCTGTTCAGCTTCTGCCAAATATTCTGTTATTCATCATACTGTCCACTATTGAGAATGCCCTTTTCCAGGACCCTACTCCCAAACTTTTAAGGAACTATCAAGAAGGCCCCCTCTGCCAATCTTAATACCCGAGAGGTTGTGTGGGAAGAAGGTGGTTATTGGAGAGCACCCCCTTAGAAATCTCTCCTCAGCTATCCAGAGCCAGGCCACATCAAAACTTGGAAGCAAAATTGACTAGAAAGCCCAGGCATATCTTCTTGAGCGTGCTTAAAGAAAAGTGGTATATAACTGTAACATAAAGGAGATCTGTTCCTAACAGGAACCTCAATGTTTCCTTCCAAGAAAGGGCAATTTTTTAGTAATGCTTCAGATTTATTTATTTATTTTACAGCTTATATGCGGCAATAAAGAATACTGCTATTTCTTTAATGAACTAACAGCCATCAATGCCAAGTGGTGCAGCTATCCAGGGATTGACAAACTTTGTCTACAAATCATGTCCTTATTCCAAGGACGCAATGAGAAAAACCTAAATGTGGTAGGTAGTTTTATTCTCTATCATTTATTCATTTATTTCTTTTTGAACGATCTTGCTGTGTACATATACAAAACAACAAAAGAAAATCAATCAAACAAAATATAGTATTTGCCATAATTTTGAGTTCCTTTACACAGTTCTTCCATGGTGAAATTCTAGACGCCTCTTTTAATAAATGTTGATCTATCTTTTAAAATTTATTTTCAAAATTATCTTCACGTCTAGTTGGTAGTTGGTCATTGACGCGTGGCCATAGAAGAGGAAATGCACAGCACTACAAAAACCAAAGAAGTTTCAGAGTGACTAATTTTAACTGCTTATGCTAATTTCCAGATGCAAAGTTAGAAGGAATTACTACAGTAGGGCAGGCTGTGACCAGGTGACCTCTGTGCCTGCTCCATGTGCTGTCCAGGTGCTCACTGTTGAGAGGCAACTTCAAGGCCCCTGCTCTTCCTTCTTATGGCTCTTTATCAGCTGGATTCACTATGGGTGGGGGATACACATCTAGGTGCCCAGACACCTCTTCATCAGAAAGCTGTTTCCTTATGCAGCATGAAAGTGTTTTTATTGCTGTACTGCCATGATCTTGTGAATGCAGGTGTTCCTTGAAAACTCTTCAAGAATGTGAATATAAAAAGCATTTTCTTTTCTATTATTCTTCCAGAGTCGAGCAGATGTGTATCTTGGAATTTATCCTGATTTTACTTCTGTAAAAAATATCGCACACTGGAGTCAGGTACATTCTAACAAATACCTTCTCAGCTTCTCAAAAAACAGGAATCAAAAGTCTGAAGTATCGACTTGCCTGTTTAGTTTCTCATGTTTCTGTTTTGGTACTAAAGTTTCCATTTCATTTTATAAAAGTGTAGTTGTCCAGATTACCAGACCACTCAAAAGTTATATTCTAGATACTTCAATATTCAAACATGAGCTGTAACAACTCTTTGGATCTCATGGGAAGAACACAGGAAGCTGTCCTTTACTGAATCTGCCCATTGCTCCTTTCAGTTCAGTATTGTCCAGGGTTGCAAACTGTAATATCTCCCAGCCCCACCTGGAGTTGCCAGGAATTAAATCCAGAACCCTCTGAGCGCAAGGCAGAGACTCTATCACTGATCTATGGCTCTTCCTGAATATTTAATTTTGACATTATAATTCTTCCTTATGTTCTTTCACCATTGCTTGCTGCTGAGTTCTACCAAGGAAACAATGAGACTAAGGAGTAGGAAGCTGACAGGCAAGCAGTGGGTGGAGGAGGGAAGATGGAGGTTGGTGGGGTACTGCCCCATGCAGTGGCGTAGCGTGGGTTGTCAGCACCCGGGGCAAGGCAAGTAATTTGCGCCCCCTAACCTGTGGATTTGCGCCCCCTAACCCGTGGATTTGCGCCCCCTAACCTGTGGATTTGCCCTAACCCCAGATGTTGCGCCCGGTGCGGCCGGCCCCCCCCCTGCACCCCCACGCTACGCCACTGGCCCCATGCACCCGAGTGCACTAGCATCCACTGGTGCTGGGAATCCTCACATTACGCAGAAGGTGAAACATATTGCAGTGGTCTTGGCAGCTGAAGATTAGTGAAGGCTGGGCAAAAGAAGAGGTCAATATTGTGGGCACAGGCACCAATTCTATGGGGTGAGGATAGCTCCTCCCTCCCAACATATGCAAGAATGGGGCTGAACCCCCTCAATCTTGAGGGGCCAGGCTCAGTTTTTTAACATTTTCTCAGAAATGAGGATGATAGATATGTTAATAACCTTCTACCTGATTTTCTAGAGACACCACTGTTTTAAGCAGAGCTTATGGTCCTATATTCGGCCAGGGTGGATGGTGGGAATTCTGATACTGTCAAACTTCGGTTCCTGAACAGCTCCATTTTGGAACGCCTTGGCTCCCAAATGCCAAAAACCTGGAAGCAAAAGTTCCCATTTTTGAATGCTTTTATGAAGTCGAACATCTCACTTGGCTTCTCTTAGAATTTGACAACCGAAGTTTGACTGTAACCAAGATCCCTAGAGTTTGAATTTTCTTGTGGCCCTCCATCTTTCAAGAGGATTTTGTTTTTTGAACATACACCAAATTTCAAATTGTGTATAAGTCTTTTCCATCTTTTTAGGTTGATAAAACCAACCAACTTAAGTATTTTGATTATGGATCAAAGAACAAAGCTGTCTACAACATGGTAAGTGTTTTGGATTCTAATGAGAGATTTTGGTGGTAGGTTAAACGTTAATGTGAACCATGTTGTGATTTCTGAGTTCTTATATAATTCCTTTGGGTGAGATAACACCAAAGACACCAAAGAACTGGTTGTAATTATGTGTTTATCTATGAAAGTGCATGCATTGAATGAGTAAGGGCATAGAAAACTGCCTTATCCCAAGTCAGACTATTGATCCACCTATCTGTCTATATTGATTAGCATAGCAGCAGCTCTGATTCTAAGCCCTACTAGAAAACCTGAGGGACCTATGACCTTCTACACACAAACCAGATACTCTACCAATGAGCTACCACTCCCCTCTAGATTTTGCCTTTTGGGATCCCATGAGAGCCTCCTTCCAGGCCGATGTGCAGCAGGGCTTAGCTGAGACTAGTCTGCTGATATGTGCGGAAGTGGCTGCCTCTGCTATGTTACTCCACCTTTCAGCTGTTGGGGGGGGGGAGCAACATCATCAAAGCCCTACTGCCCCTCAGGCTCACAAGGAGACCCTCCCTCTGTCCTGAAGAGCACGTCCTCCTCATGAGCCATGAGGACTCTTATTCCTTTTGCTATTCTTACTGCTCCAGAGTAAGGAGTTGGATACTTAATAGATAGTTAAAGAATGATTTTCAAGGGACAGATGTTAGGCATTAAATGTATCTGAAGATCCAAAAGATGTCTTTAAAAAGAGGAAAATAAATAAAAGTGAACCTAATTTTCATCTTTCTCTTCTTTTTCTCAACAGAGTACACCCCCATTTTATAAGATAGAAGACATTACTGTGCCAACAGCTGTGTGGAGTGGTGGGAATGACCTTATTGTAACCAAAAAGGATATTAAACGGCTGCTCCCTCGAATCCCTCATTTAGTTTTCTATAAGAATATTCCTGAATGGCAACATTCAGATTTTATCTGGGGTCTTGATGCACCAGACCAGTTGTTTAAGGATGTGCTTTCTCTGATGCAAAAGTTCAAATAATGTCTTAATATGAGGGGCAAACTATATATCTGATATTAATGCAGACAGATTTTTAAAAAGTTTTACATTTATTGTTTTCTGTACTTATGTTCTTCTTTTCTGTCGCAAATAATATTAAAGGTTGGCTAGCAATAACAAAAGGATCTACGGAAGAAAAACACACAACAAAATTGATGGTAAAAATCTAACAACATGCAGGGGCACAGCCTCTAGTACTACTTATTACTGTATTATAATATATATTCATATTATATTGTGTTACCATGCATTATAGAATAAACTTGCTTCTTTTCTTCAATGAATCATGGAATTCCTTGCCAATATGAAGGGACCCCCCAAAGGCCAAAGAATATGCAGCTTGGAATAACTTTTTGTATTCCAGTGGAAGGTACTCCAATTCTGACTAGCCCACCCAACCAGAGGTCAGTGAGGGAAATGTCACACATTGCTCAGGTTTGGCTATCAAGACCATGAGCCTCCATAGGGCGGCTGTCTTTTATTTTAGCAAATGTTCTCAACTGCTTGACCCCTGTAATACCTTCCACGTAAAAGAAGCTAATCGCTGGCTGGCATTTTGTACACCTGGCTTTGCCAGACACAAGGGAGCCTATTACTGTTGAGACTTTGCGGTTGATCTGGGGCAAGTTAGGCAGTGTTTGTTGGTCCAGTTTTGAGGTCCAGTTATTTGCAGTTTGTCTTGGTACCTGGCTCTTGCTCCAGCATGGAATGGTGGGGGGGGGGAGGCAGGGAGGCCTGCCGATAACCCTCCAACGCCACCATTAAGAAGCAGAGGTTCTCCATATACAGTGGTACCTCTGGTTGCGAACAGGATCCATTCCAGAGCTCTGGCCGCATCCCAAGGAATTTGCAACTGGAATTCTGCGCATGTGCACGGCGCGGATCGCACGGGAACAGGAGCTGGATTGGGGCTGCTCAGCTGGGGAGGTGCAGGCTCCATCACACTTTCCGTTGAGGGGTTTGCGGCTGCACTCCCCTCAAGGGGGAAGTTTAAAGGAGCCCCCATCTCCGCATCAGAGCCCCTGCACCACCTGAAGGCAGGCAGGCAGAATAGTTGCTGGGGTTGGGGAAGGTGGAGGCAGCCCGGAAGCTGCATCTGAGAGCCCCTGCACCACCTGAAGGCAGCCAGGCACTCCTCAACTGAGCTGCCTGATCCCGCTCCTATTTGCGTGCAAGCAGGAGTGGAGACGGGGATCTCTTGGCATGAAGCCTCCACTCCACTTCTGAGAGATCCCCACCTCCACTCCTGCTTGTATGTGAGCCCTCCTCTCCTCCTCCTCCCCCATCCCCAGCATGGAAGCTATGGGCCTGCTGGGGTGATGGAACTCATGCCCACAGAGAGGGCTCTGAGTGCCCTCTCTGGCACGTGTGCCATAGGTTCACCACCACTGAACTAGGACATAGTATACAAAGGCAATGCCAACAGACCACACTTCGTCCACAATTGACTGTGCAGCACCTGAAAATTAAGCAGCTCATTAGTTGAGGAGGAAAACACATTAACTATATTATTCAAAAATTCCAGCATGTGCTTACACAACGGTATTGCTGTTCCAAAGTTGTGTGTGTGTGTGTGTTTGTGTGTGTGTGTGTGTGTGTGTGTGTGTTTGTGTATGAATACATATAACATATATGAGAAAGCCCACTTCCGAGCTAGGGAGTAGGTGGGGTTGTGGGCTTCATGCCCCTCCCCCACGCTCGCGGGGCTGGCTTCAGCCCCCGCAATAACAGGGAATCCTCTGATACATCAATGGGCTGGCCCGGGAGGCGTGGCCTCGCTGCATTTAGGTCTGAGGGTTTCTCTCTTTTCTGCGCTGCAGCTAGCTAGGTTTTTTGGCTCCTTGAGACTGCTCGACTGGTGAGGATTTTTATCCAGCGCCTCGTGTGTGCTTGCTAATTCTCTTGTTGTTTTCCCAGGTCGTCTTCGTCCGTAGCCTGCTGAGTGGTAAAAAGGAGAGCGATTTTATTGGAACTACTGCAGCTTTAGGAATCCGGCACCTTTGCCAAGGAGCGGTCCCCGAGTATATTTTAATTGTGCTACGAGGCTTTGTTTTCCTCTTCAGTTGTTTCCCCGTAGGTTGCTCAAGTCGGGCAGCGCGCTGATTTGCAGTAGGGGCTGGGAGCGGATCTTACCTTACAGTGGGTGATTCCTCGCCCACAAACTTCTTTGCTTTGGGAGCCCCGTTCACCCGCCCGGGTAGCTGCCCGTTGCTTCTTCAACCGTGACCGCTCGGCTCCTTCCTACGGCCGTTCTCATCTTCTCTGCAACAACGCGGGATTCCCTGAAAGCCCCCCGCTCAGCTCCTTCCTACAGCTGTTCTCATCTTCTCTGCAACTACTTGGAATTCCCTGAAACCCTCCTTCAATCTCCCCCCCCCCCGGCGCTTCTTTGAGGCAAAGCCGTGCAGACGGGAGCAGCGACATTTGCGGGCTGCTTCAGCACTCGCTAGAGGTTTGAGGGTTGCCCAGTATTACTTTCCGGTAGCGGGGAGGACCACATAGCACGGAACAGCCATTTTCCTCGGCGGAGGGTTGCTTTAGCGTTGGTAGTCTGCTCGCCGTGAGGTCTCAAAAAGCATCTTAAATCAGAAGCCGGAGGCTTGAATCAGAAGCCGGAGGCTTGAATCAGAAGCCAGAGGGGGTGCCTTGCTTTTTGTTGAGCCTACCGCTTCACGGCGCGGCTCTGCCATAATAATTCGTTACCGCCTGAGCCTCAGCGTCTCTTTTACTGAGCTGCCTCATTTAACTGGGCGAAGTGTAGCTTTATAGCTGGTCCCCCTGCCTTAATTTTCTGCCGCTAGATTGCCGATCACCGTTGCGGCTCTTTAAGTGCCCCCCTTCTTCTATTCCACGGTTTGGGGCTAGCATTAAGTGTTTTTTCTTTTCTTTATTGTCCTAGCTGCTGCTTTACGTCCTGGGTCTAATAGCGGGCGTTCAAAAAGCATAGTGGTTGCCTGGGTTACGGCGCTTGAAGCCGAGTTATGCCCACACTGAGAGGCTGCACACGCCATTTTAAGTAAGGGCTTTATACAGGTAAATGCTAGCTCACGGTCACCACGTGGCTAAGCCAAATCTGCCATTTTGAGTGAGGGCATTGTGCAGACACGTAGCGAAGCAGCGTCCACCATCTTGACTGAGGGCATTGTTTGGGGCAATTGGTGAAGCTGAGTCCACCATTTTGGCCAAGGGCATTGTGCTGGCAATTCAGCATAACAGGAATTTATAGGCCTATTTCAACAGTTTTTTGCAACCCTTTCAATAAGAGATACTCAGCTTGATTAGGCTATTTGAGCAATTGATTGCTTTTAAGCAACCTATCATTTTGAATTTATAAATAAAATAAATAAATAATAAATAATTACAAAAAACTAAATAAATAAATAACAAATATTACAAGAAATTTAAATAAATAAATAATAAAAAGTATAATAACATATATATATATATAGTGGGGGCTACACTGTGTACTGAGCATTGAGCATTGCAGGGCAATTATTCTGCCAGTGTAGATAATACTGAGCTAGCTGGTGCATATTGTCCATATTCCACTGCCCAGTGTAGGCAACACTGAACTAGCTTGCTTATAGGGGGGTTCTTTACTGCCCAGCATAGGTAATTCTGAACTAGCTGGATCACAGTTATACAATTTACTTGCTGGTGTAGTTGATACTGAACTAAGTTGCTGAACAGCTGGCTCACAGTAACGTTATTACTGACCACCATAAGTGATTCTGAGTGCACCTGTATTTGCCATGGCATCTGGGAGAAACCAACAGGCATCATCTCGTAATGGAAACAGGGCTAGCGCACAAGGCGGAACGCAAATGCCTGCCATGCAGTGCGACTCTCAAGCATCTGCTCAATTTTTCTCAGCCTTCAAAACCTTCTATATGCAGTGTAGGCCAGGTGTGAAGGCGCACCCAGCTCCTCCACCTGCATCACAGGATTACATACCTGACACCCTCACCAGTAATCAGGAGCGCCCCAGCACCTCAGCTTCTGGTTCTGGCTCTGCCCCACCAGTAATCACCTCTGTTACCTGCCCCCTAACCCGCTCCCAGTCTTCTTGCTCCCTTAGGTCTAAATTGGGTCCTTCGGGCGGTAGAGCTCCCTTAGGTCTAAATTGGGTCCTTCAGGCAGTAGAGCGCCTCCCAAGGGGCCATCTGGTAATAATCCTCAGCAGGCCATAGATGTGCCCAGTATTTTTCAGGAATCACCACCACTGCCTGCAACAACGGAAGGGAATTCTGCTTCCTCTTCCAAGGATGATCAACAGAGACATCAGGACGCGCCTGCAGTTGCTGCACAGTCCACAGTTACCGGTGAGGAACAGGGTGGAAAAAGAAAAGCCAAAAAGAAGCACACGTCGAAGAAAAGCAAGAAAAGCAAGACATCAGACTCCAAGGATTAGTCAGGTACCTCCTCTTCTGATTCAGATAGTGACGCCTCTATGGAGAATTACTAGGGTTTGGGTGAGGAAATTTCCGGGCTCCCCTTGTGGGTGCACGAGAGGTGGGCCAATTCCCATCGTAAGTCCTTTAATGGGTCCCTGGAATGAAAAAGGGGGTCATTGGTGGAAGATGTAAAAACATCCACCAATGTGTCCACCGACTTCATATTAGGAAACCACTTATCCCAAAAGAAGAGAACCAAGATTCTCAATGGGGACTACATTGACATATTTACTCTCCTCCCCCCGACTAAGATGACAGGGAAAGGAGAAAAGAAACGTTTGTATGGGAAGCAGAGGTATAGGACCCCCTGAGCGGAACACACTTTTGAAAATTGGTTGGATGGGTACCAGATATTTATGGGGGTAGTTTCGGTGGCTTATCCCAAACGCGCGATGCATCTCATCGCACACATGGCGCATGTGAGAAGGGCATTTGCCCTAGCCAGGGAGAACGCTGCTTTATCTTATGATGAAGATTTCCATAGAAATGCTTCCCTTTTACCATCCACTCGCTGGGACCTGAGGGACCAGAACTATTGGATGGAGCACGTAGGCCCGTATGTTAATAAGAAATCGCAGGATTCCTCTAAGACTGCGAAGTTGGAGCCAAAGTGGCGAAAGCCATGCTGGGACTTCAACAAGGAGGTCTGTTCTTGGTTGGCATGTAAGTATGCTCACAAATGTTAGAGGTGCCTCGGCAGCCATCTGGCCTCTGTGTGCTTTA